GGAGCTGGCATGGATTATGTTTCTAACATTGAGACTACAAGTGGACCATTAATTATTCATCTAGATACATATCTCCTTTGCTAGGTTGGATCTTTCTATGGAGGTTCATCACCACTGATCTTTTGTTTGTGTAGGTCTAAGCCAGAGGATCCTTCCCTTCTGGATGACCCCAAGATCAAAGAGATTGCAGCCAAGCACAACAAAACACCAGCACAGGTAGGTGCCAGACAGTGGGTACCCTGCTCCTGTACCACAGCCATTAAGGAAAACAGATGTGAGGAGCAGGTAGAACCTGCACTCATTCCCGATGAACTGTGGCACTCCTTTGATTTATCCCTAACAATGTAGATTGTTTATTACGCGGCCTACACTATATGCTACTATCTCTTTGGCCCTCAGCCAGAAAAAGATTCTTGACCCATCCTCAGATGTCGCTTCCCCTCTCAAGTCCTCTTGCAGAGAATGAAAGCCTTGCACAGACTGCTGAGAGTCCAGGTGGGAAGAAAAGCAATTGACTGTCCCAGAGCTGGATGGGAAAGGAGGCCTTCCATGTGGGCCTCCATCACCTCTCTCTTTGCCCTCCAGGAAGAGATACCTAGGCCACAGGGACAGGAATTATGGGAATTGTAGCTCCACAGAAAGGGTTTCCTTCTACTGAAATAGACACTTGATGGCAAACAGGTATAGGAACAGGCTCTGCTTCCTCCAGAGCAGGAGCCATCCTCTCTCTGACTCAGGGGTCTGTTCCTGCAGGTTCTCCTTCGCTTCCAGATCCAGAGAAATGTGATTGCGATTCCCAAGTCTGTCACACCACAGCGCATTGTGGAGAACTTCAAGGTGAGTGATTACGAGTGACCTGGGTGCTGCCCTGCAAGGATGGCATGGCTGTCCCCTGCAGAGCAAGCATTGATCCTTTCTCACCCTTCCCAAGTCCTCCTCAGGCAAGAGGATTGGGCTTGTTCTTTGTGCTTACCTACACTCTTCTGAAGGTTAAGTCAGGCCTACCTTTGGAGAAGACAGATGAACAGGTCTTATATGATGGTTTCTGTTCTGTGGCTTGTGGATGAATCAGCAGGCACAGCTTGCCTGGACCCCACACACAGTAACATGACATAAAAGTCTTATATAGAATAATCAATGTTTGTAAAATCATTCTTGTGTCCATAAAACAAGTTTTGCCTTTAGTTGTTAATTCAGTGGTCCATGACTGAAAATGGACCCTCGAGTGGGGAGCTGCTCTCTAATCCTGTTTGATTCAAGCTTCACATTGTTTTATTTTTCAAAGAGGTGATTTCCAGCTATTTCTCTAGTGAGGCGTTTGACTTTGAATTGACTAAACAGGAGATGGCAACCCTTCTCAGCTTTAATAGAAAGTGGAGGATCCGTGCAATGAGCATGTAAGTGATGCTGCTTGTTTCCTTCCAACTATTACATTTTGAATATTCTTTACAAGGAAATTTGTGTCACAACTACTAGGTAGCATGAAATTCAGTTTAATTAAAAGTGATGCCAACTCAAATTCCAACTCCTTTGTCCCAAAAATAGTTTTTCAGGAGATGGTCTAATATTTTCATTTTAAAAACAAACAAAAAATGTAAACAAACTACATTCTCCTTTTGAATTTAGTTTTGGGGAAACCCTCTGTAACCTGAATTACAAAATATGGGTTCTAGATGTCCATTTAAACTTTGTATCAGACAAATGAGGACACATATCTCCACATATTCTTCCTATAATTACATGATGCAGATCTTCCCTTGGTAGCTCCTCCATGCACCCAATACGCCCCTATATATAACTTACTTCACTCATGAAAATAACATTCTCTCTTTGATTTCTTTCAGGTCCGAAACTCACAAGGAGTATCCTTTCCATGCAGAATAGTGACAATGCTCATAACATGGCCTTCACCAGACCTCTGGTGTCTCATGTGCCTCTGCTCTAACTCGGAGCCGTCTGTTTATCTGGTCTTCTTACTGTGCCTGCCCTGTGCTGCTAGTAAAGACACAGGATGTTTGTCCCATTACATTTATTTCAGTTCTTTTTTTGGAAGAAGGAAAGAATATTGCTCTACAGAACAAAATGTGGGATGTAACAATTTTCCACTTAGTAGAAGAGGGGATTGCTACTGAATTGCCTGCTAAGCAGAAAATGGGGAGAGTCTGAACCACCATTCAATGATTGCCTTCAGTCTTGCATCAGCAGAAACCAGATGTTGACAAACCACAAAAAAAATCTATGCATATACAATTTCATCAGTAGTGTCTCATATTTTAAATAAAATTAATTTTAAAATGCAAAAACATTATGGTCTGAAAGTCTTCCATCTAGTATAGGAAAACCCCAAAACCCTCCTACTCGGAGACACACAGAGAGGTCAGCTGCAGTCACCTGCACTTCAGGAACATGAACGCTCCCTGGGACAGCAAAGCCACTGGTGCTTTACCCTGCGGGCACCAGAAGACAGCCAGCCCTCAGAGGAGACCCACGATGCCCCTTTCCCTGCAGGCCACCAGCCCCCAAATTCCGACCACAGCCCCCAGCGGTGCCAGGGGCCATTTCATGTGCCACACAAGCTGGGTGTCTGCTCCTGCTCAGGGGAGGCTCAACCCCTATAGGTGCTGCACCCAAACTGCAGGCACCTCAGGACCTTCTCTCCAATATTTGCACTTTCAATTCACAAAGATATAGTCCAAGATCATGTATTTCCCAGCTTCCTGAAGGAAGCAGCCCATAAAGCCCTCAGCAGTCTCCAGGAAGAGGTAAGACATCCACCCTGTGAAAAAATACTCCATGTTACTGAACCCAGTAAGGGTACAATATTTACTATGGCATGGGAGCCAAAGATTTAGGGAAGTTCTGCCACTCTTCACAACCACCCTTTTTCCCTTGGAAAGCTCCTGTTCCTGCTCTAACTCACTGCATAGCCATCACTGTGGGTACAGTCACACAAATCCATCCAGACGCTCCTTGGCTAAGGGCAGCACTTACTGCCCCATCCCACCCATGCTGAAGGGCTCTCCTGCACACACTTGAAGGGTCTCTCCTCTCATCCCAGGGCACAGACAGCAACCTACTGAAAGAAAGAAGACATCAGAGGGGTTTAGCCATGTCATCTTGCTGAATCAGGCTTAGATGTCACGAATGAGAAGACAGGAGCTGCCTACTGAGGGCAGGCAAATTGACCAGGATGTGCCACAGAGAGTGGGGGTATCTGCTCATAGTTTCATTTCTGGAGTTTCATTTTAAATACATGGGTTTGCCAGCTCATCAGATTAATAGCCAAATACCAGAATTATCAATGACTAAAGTCTTCAACAAAACTCTTGAGAAGACACAGAGATGGTGGTGGGACCTCAGAGTATGCTCCTGGCTTGATCTGAGCTCAATCCAAGAAAGAGGCCAAGGTCTTAGAACTGGATTAAACCTCTACCCTCCTGTCTGCATTCCTGCCTTAACAAGCATCTGGAAGTTGAAATGATGCACACCACTTAACAAGATAAACATCCTGTTTCAGTATACTTCTTTCCCAGAGGCTCTACCATCATCTGACAATCCCACCTACACCTTCAGGACAGAGGAACAACTGACAGCTCCTATGTCTTGGCATGATCTGGGCAAAGTCTTACACCAACAGGCATAAACAGCAAAGCAAAATGCAAACCTTCTGCCCCAAATCCTCTGATTCAAAAAACCATTGGGGAAAACCAAGCACCCACCTTCACAGGAGAGGAAGCAGAGGAAGCAACACAAAAATCTCAGAAGAAAATGAGAGGAAAGACAAATTGCATTTCTCAGCCATGCTCTCTGCCAAGTCTCAGTACCTGTCAACACACACCCTACCCAGCTCCTTGCCCCAGGAACACAAGGCTTTGAAACCTCTCCCCAAATACACGCTCAGAAGAATGAGAACAAACACTGCAGGGGTTTCTGCCCTTTCTTATAGGAGATCCCATCTTACTGACCAAACAGCCAGGCTTTGCCAGCTTTCACAGACTCACAGAGCACAGCTCTGATGGTACCAATTCACCTTGGTGCTCCTCCAGTACAAAATCTGACTGATCCTGGCAGTTCCTACACCAAGACTTGAAACCCACTCACCATTGACTGTTTCTGAATGTGACACTGCTAACACTAATAAATTGCCAGCACACCACCGCTAGCTCGAGCATCCAGGAAATACAAAGACAGCAGGAGCAAACTGGCACTTCAGCTGGTCTTCAGACTCACTTGAGAAAATATACCGCAGCCAAGGCAAAATGCATCATTTTTCATTTTTCACTGACTTCTCTGAACAACAAACCAGCCCCCAAGAAGCTGAGCACACTCAGAGCAGATCTATGGAAAAGGAATCCCCCAAAAGGGTGAAAGATAAGCCCTGACTTGTATAACTGTTACATGATTCAACTGAAACACAGCATCCTGCTGAGGACAGCCGATGGCACTGACACAAAACAGGAGGAAGAGTAAAGAGAATAACTAATTATCTTGTCTGCCTTCAGTTAAATGAAGCAAAAAGAGCCTGGGCATCTGCTGTGGGAGAGGCACCCAGGGAAAAATGCACCATTATACATACTCTCAACTTACGCTTGTACCTGAATCAATTCTCCAAGTATAAGCAAAGAGTAAAGCCTCCCAGGGAGCCCTAACATACTTTTATGGAGTACTTACAGGATCCAGCTGATAAATCGGGCTTTTTTCACTGCATCATGACCACCTCATCAGTACAGCATCTTTTGCCTCTCCAAAATTTCAAAGTCAGTTTCTAATGTGAAATTAAAGGTCACCTACCATTTATTTCTACACTTGTATGCTTTATTCTGAAATATGGTCTTCACCTCCCTAAAGACAGAGGGACACTGTCATCATTGTAACATTCACTGAAAACTCAATGCTCTTCTGCAGCTTTGAAAACATACTAAAAAATACTTTCTCCCAACATTTAAAATGAAGTGGTTTATACTCGTCGTATTTTCTAAATTACTCATAAGCTCACTTACCCCAAAGTGAAAGCTGCATTCGCCCCACCTGGAGAGGGGAATAGGGTGCTGCCCAGTCTCACAAGCCAGCCACACCGAGGTTTCTCTGGCTGTCTCACTTCATCAGCACGAAGGGTCACAAGGCTCTGTCAAGGGGAGACCAGCCCAGGCCACCATCCCTGCCGTGGGGACACCCTGCTCCAGCCAAAAGGGCTCAGCCCTTCCTGGGCCCACGGTTCACAGCCCACAACCACGTGGCCAGCAGCGAAGCAGCAGCTCCCTGAGCGGAGAGCGGGAGACCTCTGCCTCGTGCCCTACCCGGGGACTCCTGTTCATTGACTCATTTCGGGACGGCCCCCTGGCTTTACCCACGACAAATCGAGGGCCAAAGCGTCACCGAACAGAATGGGCTCTCCATCTGGTAACCGATGGGGTGAACTGCAACAGTGCGCTGCAACACCCCAGCGCGTCCCACAAGCGACTCAGGCATGGCCCGGGGACAGGGCAGGAGCTGAACCCAGCACAAGCACAAGCCGGGCCGGGGCACAGCCGCCCTCAGCCCGCCCGGATCTTTTGACAAGGAACTTCACCCGGAGGAAGGGGCCGCGGGGCGCGCCCTGGGGGGTCACGACCCCCGCGATTTTTCACTGACTTCAGCTCCCACAGGAGCCCACACGAGCCGAGCCTCAGCGGACGGCCTGGGGAAAGGCTCTGCTTAAAGCCCCCTTGTGTGTCTGTCTACCTTCTAGCTGCCTAAGGAGCAGTGAGTGAGAATCCCAAATCAAGATGTACCATACCCTTTTCCCTTCAGTCCCCCCCAGGTAAGGTGGAAGGTGCAGTGATGGCTGCCATTGATGCTGGGTAACCG